AACTTTGATTCCCTGAAAAAGCAGAGCAGAAGGCCTGGAAACATTTTGACACGCCTCAGTTGCGTGCCACCGCACGCGCCATCCCCTTCATCTGAAGGCTCGTGTAAACGGGGCAGGTGGCAGATCTCAATTCTATTCTGGAATTACTTTGAGGTAAGAGTTACAAACACTTCCCTGAAGTTTGTTTGTTCCATCAACCTATTATTCACCACCCTGTATATGCACCATCACTATCAGTGACTTGTTCGACCCACCGATGAGTGGAAGCTTAACGCCCAGAAAGCTGGCAGTGACATCGCTTTTGGGGTGCCTATCGAAATCGTATTTTCTGTCCACAAGATGATTGCTGAGCAAGAAGAGCTCAGCAGTCATTTAAAACCGCTGCAGTTGGATGTGGTAGGACTTTCAGGTAAGCCTCGATATGTAAATAGCGACACATTGGAAACACATGACCTCTGTTGTCGTGGAGCGGACATACTTTTTTGAGTTTTGAGGACAGTTGTTGGAGTTTAGCCGTGAGTCTCTGCTTTGATCACCTTAGACTTAATGACTTCACTGCTGTAACGAGGGAGATGTTTCTAGTGGTCAACTCGAAAACGCTCCAAAAAGGAGAGCGTGACGTTGTTCATCTTTTCGTTCATCTTTTACCCACATATGCTTGATCCAGTCCCTGAGGACTCTAGGTGTGGTTATCATGAAACCACTACTTCTCAACTGCAGTAGTGGCTTTGTTCAACCAGGGCGTACGGGTGGAGTAGGAACCAAATTATGGACGGAGTGCGTGTCGCACTCCTGTCATCGGTGGTCAATTCATGAGGGAATCTTTGGCGAAGCTTCAACCTTTTACGAAGGAGCGAGAACCTTCTATGAACTGTGCATCTGGAACACCAGGATGTGGTGGCCACAAGCAGGTTATCCCGTGTGGAGTGACTCCCACGAGAGAGTGTAGCCTGTCCAAATCCGACACTGATGGCCTTCCTGAGCGAGGTTTTTCTCCTAGCTGTAGTCTCCTGAGCAAAGAAGATATATCCATAATGATATTACTTGGCTGGCAATAATAAGAAGATATCAAAATCAATATCAAGATTCATATCAGCAGTGGTGTACAATCTCCTTCTGGTATGCATTTTGCGTTTCCTGCAAGAGATCGCAGTGGAATTGAGAAGCGTTGGAATGAGCATTTCACCTAAACAGTGGTAAACGGGGCCAAAACAGTAATTGGAGACTCAGTTTACCACTAACCACTCAGTCTGTAGATCGGTCAGTCCTGTCAGAGCAGCAGTCACACAGGGTCGCTGAGCTGCCACTAAGCAGCAGGAAGCAACAACAACCTTGTAGAAGCGCTTACCTACGCATTGGCCGGCTCTAACTAGTCACAATCCAATGGCAAGGTCACAACCGCACTCAAATTCAGCCATGATTCTGAATATAACACGATACAGTGATGGCCTGCACCTTATCTTGTATTCTTTTCGAAGACCAGTAAATAGAAGGATAGAGCAACCAATATTAAGGGCAATCTCTGCGACATTAATGATTCATAGGCATTTTACTATGGAAGAGCCCGTTCATTCAGGAGCTGGGCCCATGATGCCGCGCCCCCTGTTCCATCGATGCCACAACCCATACGAGTAGATATCGTTGACAGCAATTACAGGTCAGAAACTCGGTAAGTGGCTCACTTTTTAATTGAATAAATCTATGAATATCTCATGCCTACAATGACTGGAAAAGTTCTTGATTTCTGGGCTGAAAGCGATTCGCGATTTTTGTAAAGTTTTCGCTTTTGTAAGAAATGAGCCTTCTAACTTGGACGTGCAGAGAGAAATCGTGGAAATATCACTCGCGAAAAATTGTGCGATGATTTCAGAGCAACACATACTACAGTATCCAGAACTTTTACCTGGGCTTTGCATGGTCCTATTTCCTTCAAAAGTTGTATTCACAGGATGATTAAATACGATTTAATGAAGAATGATGAAGTATTGTGAAAAGAAGCGGCTTTTAGCAAGTGAGAACCTTGGAAGCCCATGTAGTTATAGGCTACATTAAAATCTGTTTCAGAGCCTTATACCTTAGAACTTGTTAGATACGTAGAGATCACTGCAAAAGTTCGACAAAATCCCACGAGCGCCAGACTTACGCTTTCAGCTGGCTCTCTTACCTTAAAGGAATCTTCCACGGACCATGGACCAGTGGGCGGGACCGGAAGTTTTTGTGACGAAATGCATGGTAGGTACGGATCCACGTGTCGAACGCACGAACGTGAATTCACTTCAAACCTTCCCATGAACGTGGATCCGTACCTACCATGCATTTCGTCGCAAAACCACTTCCGGTCCCGCCCACTGGTCCATGGTCCGTGGAAGATTCCTTTAAACTTCGACTGAGATCACGAGAAAGCTTCAAACTTCAGATCTTTCAGGTACTCATAATATGGTTCCGATAGCTACGGTTGGATATCAGCAAGCGGGAGTTCCACAGTATTCGATACAGTATCTAACTTTCGACGGGAATCTAGCACCGTACGGTCGGTGTTATTTTCACGAATTTTAATGTGGTGAGAAATGTGCTACCGAGAATTCTATTCTTCATCATTTCTGGCTGTTTTCGGTTGGGCTCTCCCGTATCTGTTGAGTAATATTAGTAGGGTACATTTTTGTAGGAAGCGAGTTCTACTTC